TTTGGATGCATTTGGGATGCATTTGGATGCATTTGGGATGCATTTGGGATGCAATATGACGCATTTGGATGCATTTGGTATGATGTAATGTTGCGGCCAAGCAGTTGTGGAAGCGATTTGGGAAGCAACCAAAGTAAACTAGTATGAGGTACCTGATACGTCAGCTATTGGTGGACAAAGCTAGCTGCTAGATGACCTGCTTGTGAACTTGTGAGAAAGGATATATATATATATATATATATAGAACTGTAATTGTATCTTGGGTGTTTCACCATCACCAATAACCTGGTTTTGTGGACCAGGTGATAGTTTATTTTCCCTACGGTTAAAACCTCTTCTGGTGATTTGTTTTTCAAGGTCCTTGTTCTGATCGTTATTTTCACATGATCCATATGTGATCGTCAGACTTGCACACAATCTAGATGCAATGTACATCACTTAGCACATTTTCATTTCAGACATTTCCCAGCATGCTTGGTGTGTGGATGACACTTCCTTGCTCCACAGAGGAGACCCACATAGACTTTGAACAGGGCTGCCCTCTTTTCCGGTTGTGGTTTGCAGTTTCTACTGAGCTTCAATGATCTGTAACCGAAAGCTTGGGTCTCCTAGTAGAAGTGGTATCCGGTGTCGGCAGGGCACGTCCCATCCGTCCAGACCATCCGGCCCCAGATCTATCGAAAGCAGGTGCCACCCACCATCAAGGAGATTGAGGCGGGAAGAAGATGGGTGTGGATTAGACAATCAAACGCAGAGTTCATAAGAGATCCACCTGCCTAGGGGGGGCTATTTTGTTCTGGAGGGCGGCGAGAAACGCAGTTAAACACGTTGATGGACAGATGGTTAGTCGACCATGTTTCCGGGAGAGTTTCCACAGATTCGTCTCTGCGTCTCAGGATTCGTCACAGAGTATGATTAGGAGGTGTCCCATTCCCTGTAGCAGTCGGTCAACGATCAGTATGTTTGAGAAAGGTCTCTACTCATCATCCACTGGGCCCAGGGTGGTTGGGAGATACCTAAAGAGAATGAATGAGTGCGCATGGAGAAGCAGATGAGAAGCAGCCGCTCCGTCTTGATGATCATCACATGTTCCTCCCCACCAGGGGTCCGGGGCTCCCCGGGTTCAGTCGGAGGGACGCTCTGCCGCGCGGAGAGAAGTCGGAAGGAGGGAGTAGAGCATCTCATTGGATCTACTTGGGCACCAAGATGTCCCACGAATGAGGGAGACAATTGGGCATTGTGATCCCAAAGATTTCGGCCAACAGATGTGAGTGGAGTGGAGCAGATGTGGTTTTGACTGGTCTGAATGGTGGCACAAAAAGGCCCCCAACATCACGGAGCATTTGGGCAGCTGGTTGTTTCCACTTCCAGCTCCCAAGCGATGGCCCGAAACCTCGCCCCCTCCCTCCGGTCTCCATCCCGGTCCCGCTCCGTTCAGCGGACCGCGCCGTCCCTCCGTCGCGGTGTCCTGTGTGGCATGGAGGGGAGACCGTCGTCTACCCTGAGAATCCGTGGTTTGTAGAGGAAACCAGTACTTGACCTGGGTGCCGTTCGACCTGGGTCGTTTTCGAAAAAGGAGTGTCCATGATGGTCTAGGGAATTCTAAGGGATGTCTATGGTATGGCACCCGGCACCCGACCCATCGAATTGTAGGCTCTTGATTCATCAAGTCCTCCCATGTCCATGGAATGCAACACCTCTAGAAAAGGCCTGGTGGAATTGAAAGATCATCTCAGAGTCTACCAGGAGTCATGTTCGTCGGGGTGCCAAACCACCCAGGCCCTCAGACTTTATATTTATAAACATGTATGGTTCTTGCATTCTTGCATGCACAAACTCACAAACTAAAAATAATTGTAGGTTGACATCCTGGAACCGAACCGCCTCCGCCAACCGCCCTCCGCGCGCAAACCGCCAGTGCTCGCCTTCGCGGCAACGGAGCGCGCCCGCCTTGATGGGACGACCGGTGGTGCCCAGGTGGGGAGGGGAGTGGACGAGGGCGACGAGTGTGAGGATGGTGGATTGGTGTGTCTGAAGAACTTTCAGTTGACACTTGGTTCGAGCAGAAACCGCCAGGCAGGGCTAGCAGGGCTAGCAGGGCTAGCAGGGCTAGCAGCTAGGTGTTGGCCGATCCGGACTTCCTCAGGGTTTGGTACTGTCTTAAATGTATTTTCAGGTGTTTTCTCCACCTACTACAGGGATCACCTGGAATGTCCTCCGCTTCAGGCCATCCCCAAATCAACTCTGGATCAAATCAACTAGCTGCCAAGAGTGGTGGTGACATGGTCTATGACCCTTCGCAACTCAATGGACCCTTAGTGCACCCAAGGGGACTTCTGAGAAGGAGCCAGCCACCCGTCGCCCGCCGAGTCCAGAAGTTCGAAGCCGCACTCGGATCCGAGTCGCAGGCGACGAGTCGGAGGTGTGAGGTGTATGTCACAGGCCCTTTCGATCCGAGGAGCCTCCGGAAGGTTCATAGTTTGTTGGAGCTCTATAAGAATCAAGGACCCGACCTGTTCGGTGAAGGTTTGGTTCGGGTCCCAATGTTCTGCGTTCAGGGTCCGAACATGTCCAAACCCTCCAGAAGTGGTCGGGTCCAATGATTCTTAGGGGAGTGTTTCTTTCGTCCAGATCCTCCCATCCGGTGGCAGCACACATGGTGGCGCCTGACCACATGAGCGAGCGACTCCGCCATGAACTCGCGTGACCTCCGCCCATGTAATTGCCGACCGATCGGTGCCGGTGCCGTGCGTTGGTCTGAAAACGAAGAGAGGGGGTTTTTGTGAAAAAGACCTATAGACACGACCGACACGACCGACCGCACTGGCAGATGTTTCGGGGAGAGGATGGAAGAGGCCACATCCCGGACCGAGATGCCAGTCCGGAGGCCGCGTTGGATTTTGGGGAGACCCCCAAGAGTCGAATTCCCTCCGGAGTCTTCGAGCCGGAAAGACCCAGCCGAGCGGGGGCCAAGAGGGCGATCGGGGGTCTGGATTCAAAAGACCCACCATGAGTGGAGAGGTGACTGAAGCGTGGCCCTTCTGTGCATGATGAGGTACTGTAAGTTGGTTCACGAAACATTCCTGTCCGGCGGTCGTCCTGTTCAAAAAATGGTGCAGAACCGTTCTGCGGATTGATGGCGCGCTGTGCGGCGAACGAGGCTCCAACTGGGCTCCGCGAAGAATGGCGTGGATGTGGACGCCACCTGGCGGCCGACGGTGGATGAGACGATGCGGGGGGGATGGGCGTTCGCGTGGCTTTGGAGGGTTGCGACCTTTTGAGTGGGTCTCCCAGCCTCTCCTTGTGGCCTTTCCTTTTAAAGCTCTTTCTGTCCTGACATTGGTGCCGCTTGACCCTCGCAGAGGCTCCCCTTGGTCGACCCGGAAGCCCTCCTACTGATTGATTTGATCGGCCAATCACAATTGATTTGGTGCCTCCTCTGTGGTCATTGTGGGCGCCGTGCCAGGCACGGCGGCCAGGGCGGCCAGGTTCGCAGGAGTTTGGACTGAGACGTTGAATGGTGAGCAAGACCATCATATGGTACTCGTAATAAATCCGACACGGCATGGGGCTGAGCAAAACGTCTTGGGTGGTGCAGTCTTGGGTGGCAGTCTGTGATCATTGTCATAAACACCATGTCATCTGAAATTGCATCGAGAAACATATGAAAGATCACCACTGACCTACCACACTGGCTGGACCTATTTTCCCATTCGGACTGGACCTGGCAAACATCTGTGAAAGAGCTTGGGCTCGATTTGGCACCTGCCCTGAGGGGATCTATTCGTCTTCTTAATCCCACCCCCTGCAGCACCGCCCTTGGTGCATCTATCAGTCGATGCCTCAGTCGATGCTCTGGTTTGATCTGGCTTCGTCTTGGGCTGTTTTTCGCCCCCCCAAAAGAGACCTGTGGAGTCGGCTGGTGGGGTGACCGAAGTGGTCAAGGAGTCGACCCGTTCGGATGGATCCCAAAACCACCGCGACTCAGCGGATGCGGTGCCCGTTCGGCCGAGCGCCGAAGCGAAAGGATCTGCTGGAGGGGCGAGTGCTAGGGCGAACCGTGTGTGTTGCGGCTGGAGATCAGTGACATCTTCCCGATGAGGATGGTAGTTCCCTAGGTCTGGGGAGGTAGATCCCTAGATGAGCTGGGGAGGCGGTTTTGTAGGTGAGCAGGGGTGGTAGTGGAGGATTGGAGTGATTTATAGCGACTGGTGAGACCTTCCAGTTGAGAAGGATTCCCCTCGCCAGTCCTCTTCCAAGGCCAATTTGAACCCCACACCCTCTGCTTCCTCGGTGGGGGTGCCTAGTCGTGCGAGTGAGCCAGGTGGTCGGGACAGCTGAGAAGAAAGGTAGACTCTTGAGACTCTTGATTATCCCAACACCTCTTCATATATGGAGGGTTGAAACATACTCCTGGGAAGATAAATTAACATGGAGCCTGAAAACCACTGGGTGGTAGAGGAAAAAATTGTCGTACTCAAGAATGTACATTACTGATCATCCGTTTAGATGAGCGCATGGCCCCAAACTCTAGAGGAAGCCGAAGATACCAGCCCAAGCCAGTTCATTTCGCTTCGTTTCACGTTACCTTTCTGGTTCCACCAGCAGTGTCTACGAGCCTGGGTCCCTTTTTCATGTCTACTCCCTCATCGCCTCGCCGTGGTCGAAACGACGCCTCGCCTCATCGCGGATCGATCCACCGGGGAGTCCTCGGATAGACCGAACGGGGCATCCGCAAAGCACGAGGGTCGCTGGGAGTCCCGTCGTGGTTCGCAACGACTCAAACCGACCGAAGGAGAATCCCTGGTTCCTTACTACTAAGTGGTTTGCCTGGGATGCACTGGGAGAGTGACGTTGGCCGTTTGGCGAAACAGTTCTCCTTTCGTGAACGAACGAAGATGTTTCGCCCAGCCAGGCTCGCGGTGTAGGGTCAGGACTTGGTAACGGCGCAGTCACGCAGTTGGTTTTGGGTTTCTGCAAACGGGTGAGCTAGAAACACCCAGCTTCATAAGCACTCAGCTTACCCATAGTCAAAGCTCGGAAGAAACACTCTACCACCTCAGAGCACCAAAACGCCTCAGGCCTTAAAGGCAACTTCTGAGAGAACAGACGGTCACCAGACACATCCAGTTTTGACAGACGACTCCTGGACACTCGGAGACCCCATCTATTAAGCTACATTGACCCCATCTATTGAGTACCTGGTCAGTCCGGTACCCCGGAAGTGGGGTCAGTACCCAGGAAGTACCCAGTAAGTACCAGGGTAATGTATATTCAGTACCCAGGAAGTCCGGACGATCTTTTGACTGTTTCCCATTCAGGTCCCCAAGGACCAGTTTTGAAGAAGTCATTGACGTAAGCCCTAAGAATCCGGGCTC